AAGGTGATTAGGTTACAAGGATACAATCTCACAAATGGGATTGGTGCCCTTATAAAGAGTTTCTAGAAAGCTAACTAACCCCTCACAATGTGAGGACAGACACCTACCTACAAGGAGGAAGCAAGGCCATCCACTAGACACTGCATCTGACAACCCCTGGATCTTAGACTTTCCAGAAACCGATCTGTGAGAAATAAGTGTCTGTCATTCGTAACCCACCATGTTTATTTTTATTTTTGTTGTTATAGCAGCACAAATGGTCCAAGATAGTGATCTCGTGACATTTAAAAACATGTGGACATAAAACCAACTAGACACTATCCACAGTCTTCTAGTTTATAACTGAACCTTGTTCAGCCCTGGCTTGGGAGGGATAATTCTCATAGTCTTAAATGTTTTACTTAAAACTAAGAGAGGTAAGGCAAAGACATAACTTGGTGTTGGAGAATTAATGATAGAAAACTTTGATAATCAATGCAATTTAAAAGTAATCCATTCTAAGTAGTACTGAGAGACGATTCTCCATAAATCTCTCACAGTTAGGGAATTTGACAACCTTTATTTCCAATCATCTGTTTAAGGATGTTTCCATAGCAAACAACCTTGACAGAGCAATACGCTCCTCTTTCCACACCACAGCAATAGCAGGGCATGCTGACTGCCTATTATAACGATAATATATTCAGACTTCCCAAGCTCAGAGATTCTCTCATGTAATGAAATTTACTGCACTATTAGTCTCACCCTGTGAGCACTGTGGCTCAGGGAACCAGGGATGATGCTCATGTTCTGGTTATTTCTATTGCTATGAATAATAAAGTTCCTGGTCTTTGACCCAAGAATTTCATGCCTTCCACTAGCGTGCTTAAAACAGACTAACATATTGTTGCAAATACAGTGAACTCTCAGGCTCTTCTAAGTGTTTCTTCTACAGTAATATGTAGCTACAATAGCTGCTCTTAATGAACCATCTAATAGAGTCTCCTTCCATATTATTTACTAAATTTCTCTGAATGAACATATATCTCGTTTCTTCTCAAAAGTACAACACTGCTTTATTCTCCTTCAAAGCAATCACTAACTCCCATCCTTTCAAGCACTTATATCTCTTTCTCTTTCATTCATTTTATTGATTCTGGATCTCTGTTCACCTTCAGACATGACTAGCACACAGTCAACCCACACTGCCTGTTTTCAACTTTGTTTGCTACCTACGTATTGTTACTTCAGATGAGTTATTTAAGCAATACATATCTCAGCTTCTTCATCTATAAAATGAGGATAATACTAGTAACTAATTCCTAGAATTATATGAGAATTAAAAGAGTTTACACATTCAATGTGTTTAGAATAGTAAGTGGCACTGCTAACTAAGCCCTCTTTAACATTATTTCACTTTGCAAATAGGATGCCCTGCAGTCAACAGCTCCGACTTAGGCTAACTGGTCAGTAGAAGCTAGATCCAATATGGCTGCTTCAGTAACCTTTTTAAGACCTTAAGCTTCATTATAATCTAATTTCCATGTTAAATTGCATTCTTACAAGAACAAGAACAGTTGATAATTACAACAAGAAACACCAAAAGAGAGCATAGAAGTATCAAAAAGACAGCTTTCCAATTCCAGAAATTACACCTTTCCCTGACCAATCTGTGAGTATTCCTCCCACTTATTAGCATATTCCTTGCCCTCATTTACTTTTTTTAAATATTTCTTTATTTGCAAGTCAGAGCTACAGAAAGAGAGAGTGAGAAAGAGAGAGATCTTCCATCCCCTGGTTTACTCCCCACATGGCCTCAATAGTCAGAGCTGGGCCTGGCCAAAGCCAGGACTAGAAGCTTCATTTGGACCTTCTACATGGGTGGCAGAGGCCCAAATACTTGGACCATCTGCTGCTGTTTTTCCCAGGCCATTAGCCATGAGCTGGAACTGAAGTGGCGCAGCTTAGACTCAAACTGGCATCCATAATATGATACTGGCATAGCAGGAAAATTTACTGCTCTATCACAACACTAGCCCTTTTGCCCTCATCTCTGTTGCCCTATATCTATGATTCCTCAACCCCCAGCAAGTTGAGAATGAAACCAAATTCCTTACAGTGCTGTGTGTGCAGATACTAAACAGCATCAGGTCCTAGTCTCCCACATTATCGTAGACTCCCTCTCTTAACTTAAAATTTCCTTTGCCCTACTTTTATGATTGCACAGTTAAGTTACTGAGTTGAAGAAGTGGTGCAACCAGTCCTGCAAATTTCCTATTCATTACTTCATGAGGTCATTTATTTCCCTTATGGATAACATCTTGATGTTTAGTGTTGTCTCAAGGGATGTCTTTGCCAGAAACTCCAAGTCCTGAGCAAAAAGTAACTACTGACTGCATGTAGTCCCTGGACTGACTGGAATACACTTGGCCATCTTCAAAATTCCATATATCTGACTAATCAAAGGAAGGTCAAAGAACACCCAGGGACCTGGACACATACTGAACTTGCATATCTCAATCCCAAATTCAAGCTGTAAGAACGTTCACTTCTAACATCTTGAGGAACCCAGGAATGAAGTGAGAACTGCTGTGCTCTTTGATCTGCACTTTGCAGTAAATACCTACTTTCTTTCACTACCCTGGTGTCAGGAATTGGCTTGCTCTCTGGTGGGTACATCCAGTTTCGTGAGTTCTATAGCAGTCACTCAAACCAACTTTGGGGGTGTATAACAGAAAGTTGACTTGCAAGCAAGGCTCATACTTCTCCGTTCTTTGGTCATTCTTTTGGTCCATTATTGGTCTCTCATTCTTTTGGTCACTGAATAGAGTTTGCGCTTATGAAGTAGGCAGGCATACAGGCTAATATTGATTAGATCTGTGAACTGGAAGATCACGCCTTCGCCACGCCCCTGTGTGACCTCATGCCCCTACCTGATACCTTCACCAAGCCCCTGTGTGGCCTCATCCCCCTACCTGGCCACACCTGAATGCACACCAGCCAATCAGGTTAATTAACCACTCCCCTTTGGAAGTGGGTTAAAAGCCTGGGACACAGTGTGGCCTGGCCTGCTCTTCTTCCCTGGACTCCTGCACCCTAGGCTTCCTGGCCCAGATACCGGCCTAGATGCTCTTCCACGTGGCTGGTTCCTGGTGCTCGGTATGAACCCCTATTCATCCCTTTCTCTTAAACAAAGCTCTCACTCTCCTATGCATCTTTCTCACTAAATAAAAGCTTAAAATGTACCATACTGCCTCATTTATCTGTGCTGGTATTTAGAATTCTTCTCTAAACATTAGGCAAGAACCCTCTCTGGCTTATTAATATTGGGGATTTAGTAATAAGCCCATGGTGAAATTGTATGGCACCCCAAATTCTGGTAGCACATGTGGCACCCCAGATAACGTTCTGGGGAACTTTAAAGGGCCACATTTTAGTGTAAATTTTAGGGAGTCTTCTCCGATTTCACTTAGCTGCAATTTCATTATTGGCTTCATGACTTGCAACAAAGGACCCAATTTCAAGGTCCCTCCCCACATAACAGGGCCCTGATAAAGTGGAAGGACTTAACAGTACAGAATGAGAGTGTAATATACTCATATGTGACCAGTTATTATTCAGTTTGGATATTTCTTGAGTAAATTTAGTTAAGTACTCACCTTAAATGCAGCTAGTGATTTACCATCTAACTGTATCACTGAGAAGCTTAGAGATAATTTATGTCTACATGTGCACGTATGTTTGGTCCAGTACTAATTCAAATCCTCAATAATTCAGTTAAACATAGACTTTCCCTTTAATAATAATAATAAAAAGCACAAAAACCTCATATTCCAATTTTCTACAAATGATAGAAAGAACCAAACATCAGTCTTTCAATCAAATTATAAATGTTCAAATACCCTATAAAACACAATGGCAAGTAACTCTTCCATAGAGGATTTTGTACACTCAAGATGTACAAATCTTATCACATAAATGTTAGAAGCTTTCGTCACAGTCCTAGTAAAAAGTCAATTCACCAAATATTACATGCCAGATGCAATGTTTCCATTGGTGTTTGCATTGTGCTAAGGCATTTCTCTTAATGTCCTCCAATGACATCCCTTGGTTTTCTCAGAGGCATTCTTTCTATTTTCTAAGCCAGGGACAATTAAAATAAAAATTCCAAAGGGGTAAAGCAAAAGAGGAGAAGCCACAAAACCCTGATTTGATTTTCCTACACTTTTCCCCTCCCCATTTCCAAGCAGTAATCCCCTCTCAAACAGTACAATAGAACAGCTAGACATAAAGAAAAGGAGGTAAAATTGGCCAGCCAGTACATTGTTCTTGCTAATCTGAACCATTTACATAAGGGTTAGAAGGCTTGTTTCATCATTTAAACAGACTTAAAAGCCGCTTTGCAAATGAGATTTAGTTCCTACAAAAGAATGAATTCTAGCTATGTGGTGAGTTTTTGCTAGACCTGCACCGGGAGCTGACTTGGCAGTAACTATAAGCTACTTCTCTGGCGACATACAGTACATGCAAAGATTGCTTCCAGCTGCCAAAACTGAAAAGCATCAAGCTGATTAAATTCTTTCCAGGAGGTCAACAGGATGAGGGGCAGGTTAAGAGGCTAATAATATTAGATCATAAACTGTACCTGAGCAAACTCTTCCTTTATGCAAGTGCTTTTAAAAGTGGTTTTGAACAGTCAGAGTCCCTTGAATCTTCTTTAGAAAGGAAACAGAAGGGCAGACAGCAAATGACATTCAGAGCCAGAAAGACTTAAAATAGTCTCAAGCTGTGAAATGAAGACAATCTAAACTCTTTGATTCATTATCGACCAAGGAGGCATTGGGCACAAGGATAGTCTGCATAACTAACTCCCTTGCCAATGTTAGCGTAAAAGATAAAAAGAAGGAAAAGATTTTCTGAAAACAGAAGACCACATTCTTTGCATCAAAATCTTAAATTTAATAAAAATAAATATCATCTTTATGTATACTTTATTATGTGATATTATTACGTGTTTTTACCTGGCACACCTTGAACAGATGTTCAATGTGACCTTGGCCTGAGGTTCAGCAGCATGAGTAGGACGGCCGGGGTTAAATTTGCTCCCAGAAGGCACCAGAGTTGTTACTCCCTCCATTCTTAAATCATCAAGATCCTCTGTAACAACACAATTACAGAAAAGATGTTAACTCTACTAAAATTAAGGAAAAAGATCTACATTTTCAGGTATATGCCAGTATTTTGTTAAGCAAAATACTATTTTAAATTTCTTTCACAAACATCTAACCTCATGTTCCAATTTTTAAAAAGATATTTCTACAAATAGTTGGAAACAAATTATGCGAGATTTACAGAAGACAAAATGTCTAGAGAATGAATACACACAGACAATGGACAGAATGTTTGCGACAACAGAACCGTGATGCACAACCCCTACCTGGGAAATCAAACCAAACTCCATAGCAATTAGCCTAAAATGCTCAGGATGTGATCAACAACCTCCTGTTTCCCTATAGTTTGCCTTTGATTTCAATTCAGAATCAACCCGACAAAGCCAAAAGCGATTAGACAAAATCTTTGCTTCTTAATAGTCTGCCTCCATTTTTCCCTTCTAACATTCTCTAATCAGAATATATCTGAAATCATCTCTCTCTGGTTTTTTTTTATTATTATTATTCTTAACTTTTCCTGTGTGCTTTTGATATAGGCAGGGAGGTTCTCTCCCCATGCTCCTGGTGCCATGACATTTCCAAGATTCCCGAAATGGGACACAAAAATGGGTAGTTCTCAAGCCCTGACACAAACTCCCCTTCATTTTAATATTTGATTAAGCACAACCCACACACCACCCTTGCCCCATGCCTTCACATCAAACTTTGTTAATACAACATAACAGCAACTTCAAAAGTTGGTGCTTCCAGTGAATTAAAATAGAGCTTCCTTTTTGATCTTATGGTTCTTTGGCCTTTCTGTTGCCACTACCAGAAAACTGAAACTGCTCAATTTTCTTGCCTCAGTTAGAGAACATTCTGTACTTTATTTAGCTTTTTATAAGGATTCCCATTGAAAATCCTGACCCAATATTATTTGTTGATGGATCATATGTGAAAATGTGAAACTAGAGATTATTTAAGAAAGTTCCTTTCCCAGAAGGAATGTAATTGCTATGAAATCTCCTTAACTAGGAAGAATTAACCATGGAGAAGAAATTGGAAATCAAACACCACACGTGGAACTCAGAGGAACTTTGTCCCAGGTCGTTGCCTGTTTTGGGGGGCACATTAAACTCCTCTGAAATCATTTTCCACTCCACAAAAATTCTTGCAACACCATTTCCTTCTCTCTTCTAAAGAAAGATATGTAAGTTTCTGAATCTAACTGGGTAATTATCTTCCTATGCCTCCATTCACATTAATAATTTGAATTCTTTTCTCTTGCTAATCTATCTACTGTCTGTTCATTTCAGTGAACTTTGCTGGGGAGAATTTTCCTTCTTTTCTTCTTCCCTCTCTCCTTTCCTTCTTTCTTAGGAATTGCTTTCCAATGTAAAATATTATTGAAGATACTCATTTACAATACTGACTCTAGTGCTTTAGATAAAGCAGATATACCTCTTTGTTTTCAAAGGTACAAAACCAGTACATGAAGGACAGATTCTGTCCAACTAGGAATTTCTTGGAGGCAACCAGGAATACTTTCTGTTACCAAAAATACTTAGGATTATTACAATAACTGCTCTGTTGCAGTGAGTTTTAATAAACCTAACCCTGCTCATTCCTCTCTGTGTTCTGGTGAATTCTTCTCACTGCCTGCAACAGTAGCCTCAATCAGTGGCTTCCTGCAATCATATTATTGCAAAATTTAAAAAGGAGTTTATTACTGTATAATTTTCAAGGTGACATGATATACGTGATAATTACTACAACACAATTCTCATCAATTCTCATGGTAATGTGATATTAATACAAAGAGAACAGATCCAAAGCACTTCATAGACACAATTCTAAGAATATAATGAGACGTCCCTTCTCAACTATCTGGTAAATGGGAAAAGAAAGCTATGATATATAACAATAGTATAATGTAGTGTTGTCAGCTCTATTCCCCTCCACCCCCCCAAAAAAAAAAAAAAAACAAAAAAAACAAAAATGAATCTTTTTAAATGTTGTAGGAAACCAATGAAAAGAACAATTAGCCAAGAATTAAAAAAAATGCCAAATATTGTCTCTTGGCATTTAGCACGATTTACTTTTACCCATGTTTCCCTATGTTGCAGAGGCTATAAGATTAAGAATTACATTTTTTTTTCTCTTTTACTGTCTAGTTCTCCACAAAGAGTTTCATCAAATAGTCATTAGCACATCTGGAGAGTAGAAGAGGGATAGACTAATTCATTTCCTTTTGCAGCAGTCCCATTTGGGTGGACTTCAGTAGAGATGAGAGCTATTGGTTGATTTTTCTAAACCTTTTTAATCCTCAGAATAATCATGCTTGTACTACAGAGGATTTGTGACATTTAGAGCAATTTCCAGCAGTTTTTTTTTTTTTAACTTTTGGGTGGCAACAGCCAATCCCTGACCCACTGAACCCCAGCCAGTTAATATCTTAAAGTTGATGGTGGCTGCATTGATCCTCAATCTTTCAGGTCAAGCATCTAATTCCTTGAATTAAATTCCTAGCAATTTTAATTTCACAGAAGAGTTTTAGTTTTCTGAATGAAAACTGACTGAGAAGGGAGTCATCAGGAAGTTGAATTAAGTTAGATGACAGATGTGTCAATGTACACACGCTAGATGAGGCAGGAATGTGATATTAGGAGAGTGTAGTCTCCCATCAGGAAGAGGGATTAAAGTGATCAATCCTGCATTTTAGAAAGGTGACTATTGTCATATTTATAGAAACCAATTTACCAAAGAAGCATTTTTAAAATTATAAAAATTAATTTTAGGAATATTCTTTTTAAACATAGACAATATTACAAGTAATATAATCTCTATAAACTATGCCTCATTGAAATAAATATACTTATTTAATGCATTCATTGAATAAGTTTAGAGATTTATAACTCATAATCATAAATGTACTTCTTATTAATAAATCTTTGCTCAGAAAAATAAAACTATGTAAACATTCTGAACTTATATTTAATATAGTCAACATATTCAATATATTACAGAATTGCATCACCTAGTTCATTAGTAAAGAGCCACATGTTTTTCTGAGCACTTGAAATGTGGCTAGTCCAAACTGAAATATACAGAAAAAAAAAGACACAAGATTTAGAGATTTAATACAAAGGAATAAAAGTATAAATCTAATGATATTCTCCACAGAACAATAAAGAAACACTATTAAAATTTGTATGACCACAAAAGACCATGAAGAACTAAGGTAATCTTAAGCAAAATGAGCAAAGCAGGAGGCATTACACTACTTGACTTTAAAATATATTACAATAGGGGCCGGCGCTGTAGTGCAGTGGGTTAACGCCCTGGCCGGCATCCCATATGGGCACCGGTTCAAGACCTGGCTGTTCCACTTCCGATCCAGCTCTCTGCTATAGCCTGGGAAAGCAGTAGAAGATGGCCCAAGTCCTTGGGCCCCTGAACCCGCCTGGGAGATCCGGAAGAAGCTCCTGGCTCCTGGCTTAGGATTGGCGCAGCTCCGGTTGTTGTGGTCAATTGGAGAGTGAACCAGCAGATGAAAGACCTCTCTATCTCTCTTTGCCTCTCCTTCTCTCTCTGTGTAACTCTGACTTTCAAATAAACAAATAAATCTTTAAAAAAATGAAATATATTACAATAGTAATTAAAACAGCATGGTTTTGGCATAAAGACAAATCTATAGATCAATGGAACAGAGTAGAGACCCTAAAAGTAAACCCACACTTCTATGACCAACTGGTCTTTGACACATGTGCTAAGAACATTCATTGGAGAAAGAATTGTCATTTTAATAATTGGTATGAGAAAATTGGATATATACATGCAGAAGAAAGAAACTAACCACCCATCTTTCACCATGTACAATAATCAACTGAAAATGTATTAAGTATCTAAATACGATACCTAAAACTTTGAAACTCATAGAAAACATCAAGAAACCATTTCAGGACATTGGAATAGACAAGTATTTTCAAGATCAGATCCCCAAAGCGCAGGAAATAAAAGCAAAAATAGACAAATTAGGTTTCATAAGAGGTTTTGCTGTGCAAAAGAAACAGCCAGTAAAGTGAAGTGACAACCTGAAGAATGGGAGAAAAAATTTACAAGCTATACGTCTGGCAAGGGAATAATATTCAGAATATATAAGGAACTCAAACAGCTCAATGCAAAACCACAAATAGTTAAAATTGGTCATTAGGTGTAAACAGACATTTCTAATAGGAAAACATACAAAGGACCAATAGGTACATGAAAAAAAAAAAAAAAAAACGCTGAACATCACTAATCATCAAGGAAATGCAACTCAAAAAGCCACCAAGAGAAATCACATCACCCCAGTAAGATGGTTATTATTAAAAAGGCGGTGATAACAAGTGTTGGCTGTGATGTGCAGGAATGGAAATCCATGCACACCATTGGTGGGAACATAAATTAGTACAACCATTGTGTAAAACAGCATGAAGTTGCCTCAGAAAGCTAAAAATAGTAGTGCCATATGATTCAACAATCCCATTCCTTGACAAATATCTAAGAGAAAGGAAATCCATTTGCTGAAAGGACATGTGTATTTCAATATTTATTGAAGCATTGTTCACAAGTCAATAAATGGAAACAATGTAAGTATCCATCCACTGATAAATGGATAAAGAAAACGTGGTACATATGAACAATGAAATATTACTCAACCATAAAATGTGATGACATTTTGTTGTTTGTAACAACATAGATGGAGCTAGAGGTCATCATGTTAAGCAAAATAAACTAATCATAAAAAGACAAATATCACCTGAACCCACTCATATATGGAGGCTAAAAAATAGGTGACCTTATTATGCTTAGTGAATTAAACCAGTCCCCAAAAGACAAATATCATATGCTTTCCCTGATTTGTGGTAACTAATATACAGAGCATGTAATGTATAAGAATGAAGCTGACATTTTCAAATTTGGTTATTGTTTATAGCCTTTGTCTACATTCTTGAGGAACAGTGT